AACTCAATTAATAAATAAAATTCAGGCGCCGAGATCAAACGGAACATCTACAAGTCATTTACGAGCCGATCTTGTCGCCATTGCGTGACTCTCAGTGTGGAGATTTGGACATTGATATAGAATGGAAATGTTATTGGGTTTGTCTTTCGTCTTCTTACGGTCTTTCACGCTTTTTCATCTTATTTCTTCTCTGGTTCCTTCTTTTTCCTTTCTCCTTCTTAAGTTTAAATTCTGTCGTTTTAAAAGAACAATTCTAAAAAGTTTACAAAATTCCCTCAAAGCAAAAAAAACTTTAATATATTGTGGACAAGCTTACCAGCTGCTAATTGTCAGTAAAACTCCTTATTTTCAAGCTTTCAGTTTGTGAAATGGAAATGTGTGCTGACAAAGCTCCTCCATTGACAGGGGATCCAAACGCTGATGGAATATGTCCTGGTTTTGATCAAAATGGATCTGGCCTTCAGAATTGTAGAGCAATCACTGGTGAATGGCAGCCAACCGTCGTCTCAGGATCGTGCTTTTACATGTTCGTATTTGTATTCGAAACTATACCGATTATCTGAGGAGCCATTAATTTAGAAGCGACCACTATCTTAGCTTCGTTAAATAATGTAATGTGGCTCTATTTTAAATTCAGATGCCTATCGAATACAGTATTGAAGCAAGGAACGATGGCACTTAGTGTTGATCTGCGTTGTGTCGCTGGGCAATACGAATTTGCCGCACTGGTCCTTACTGGTGGTAATACTGGAAATTATCAACCGCTAGTTTTGGCGTCTGGTGATTATGTTTTTTGTGCTGAACTTGTTTAACTTAACTCATTCGCGACAAAATTCTGACACAAATTGGGATTGCTGTTTCTCTCTAACGCTTGATTCAAAATTTTTGAAAACTTCTAACTATAAGAATAGGTAATTTGAAAGCCACACCATTTGATTAACATTATTAACCCGCTTAATCATGGTATCCATTTATTTTCTTGATAAAATCTTTTATTTTCTGTTATTGAAAGAAGCTAGCAGAACCACAGAACTATTTTTGAAATGATTCAACATAACATTTGACATTGCGAGACTAGTTGGATGTTAACAAAACACTTTATTATCATACGAGAAAGCTTTTGAGATCGTTTTGGGAAGAGCAGTTTCCGGTGTCAGCCCTGGAAAGATACACATACCATAGTTTCCCTAATAGTAGTGCACGAGTTGATGACTATTTTACGGTTTCCAAGTTTTCACAGAAGCTCAACACTCTAATCCCCCACAAGATCTCATTGTCAGCTACATTTTCCGACCCCACATCGATAGGTTCTGATAAGCAATTCTCGAGATTTCGAGGAATTTAGGCGACGCTTAGGGTGCACGAATATTAGAGAGAATACGCTAGATTTGGAATAAAATTCTGCGTCGAATGATATAGGTCACATAGCATTTGACCGGCTCAGCCAGTTGACCTTCCCTTGTAATACATACTTAAGTCTAGCTCCTTTAAGACTGGCTTTTGCATTTTACAAATACAATTTAATGCTAGTTAATAACAATAAGATTAACTCCAACTCTTGATATAAATACCGTATTCTCTCTAATAGTAGTGCACCCCGCCGAGCCGAGTTGATGACTATTTTACGGTTTCCAAGTTTTCACAGAAGCTCAACACTCTAATCCCCCACAAGATCTCATCGTCAGCTACATTTTCCGACCCCACATCGATAGGTTCTGATAAGCGGTTTTCGAGATTTTGAGTAATTTAGGTCAAGCTCAGGGTGCACTACTATTATGGAGAGGATGGTATACGTTTCCGTACTAAACTGTTTACAATCTCAAATCTAAAAAAGGAAAAGTACGAGCGGTTTTTTGAGTCCTATAGACACTCCCATAGGGACACTCCTACTAGAGCTTTTACGGTACTTTGCCTTTTAACCGATAGAGCAAACGTAGCGTCGCGTTTGCGCACAGACGGACGGACGGACAGACAAACAGACGTCTCTTCAGCTTTATACATAGTAGAGTTTCTTTTTTCCAGTTTATTTTTCAAATACCTCACAATACGAGAGTGGCCATGAAAACATTGTGTTTGACAAAGACCACGATTTGTTTTTGGTGTTTGAGTAGATCGTACCTGAATCAATTTATTAGTTCGTGTTGATGTTAAATACTATTGAATCTGTAACTATAAAATGTCGCTATTTGCCATGGTTCTGTTTAAAACTCTCCTAATTCATTGATTGACTTACGGTTTGCTTTATTAGAAACGTTTATCGTTTACATATTGTCATTTTGTAAGCATCTTCGAGCCTGTTTCAAAGTAATCTTAAGGAAACATTTCCATTTTTTGAAAATCCGTAAATCGGTGAATTAGGGAGCTTTAAACAGGACCATGGGGAATGGCGGGATGGCCAAGCGGTCTAAGGCGCCGTTGAAGGCACTGGCCTCCTCGGAGACGTGGGTTCGAATCTCACTCTCGTCGGGAAATTTTTACTTTTTATCCAAAACATCGATCCTCATAAATCTCAAGTACAAATGTACTATTACGATCTTAACAAATGTACTGCTACAATCCCGTTCTATTCCAAATTTTAATGCAATATATTACTGAATAATTTAAAGTTGCTTCTATAATTTCAATAGTCTATTAGGATTAACTTATGTAACAATATTTAAGGTTCGAATTAAATTAAATTACATCACTAAAAATTAACCTAGCACTCCTGTGGTCGTCTTGTAAGTGTAGATTGGTTCTGTCGCGTCACAAATCCCTTTCACGGTCGAAAGAAAGAAGTATTGACTTGTAACGGTGACAAAATCAAGAGCACCTAAAGTATCAAACATTATTAAGACGTTAATTTCACTGGCCGACCGGCTAAGAGCCCTGTATCTTAGTTGGGAAGTCAAGGGTTCAATCCTGCCGGCTAGTTTATTGGCTCTTTTTTCATCCGGGTTTTTTCTTCCCTACATTTAGGGCTTAAAGGTTGTGCTTGTGTATTGTTTGTATAACATTATTCGTTTAAATAAGTGTAGTTTTTTAAAAGATTTTTCTCTGAAAATCACACGGCTCACTTGATATCTTTTATGAATCCTCACATAATTAGACAAAAAGTAAATATCATAGATTGATATAAAAATTAGAATAAATATATGTTTAGAAATTGGGATACCCTTTACTGATGATTTCTTTCAAGCAAAACGTCTTTTAGTGCAATGGAAGGGGGTGGGACAAATGCGACCTTTTTTTGCGCACCTGGACATTTGCGCACCTTTTTTTGCGGGAAAAGGCCTTAGGAAAGGTCGTAGAGCTTCAAAAATGTTTTCATAGAAGGGAATCGTATGCGTAGATTCCGAATTTCGACAAATCAGACCTTGCTGACATGTCAAATTTGGGCTAAAAGGCAAAAACTACGCAACTTAAGGCTTTTCCGCAGTTTTTGCCTTTTAGCCCAAATTTGACGTGTCAGCGAGGTCTGATTTGTCGAAATTCGGAATCTACGCATACGATTCCCTTATATGGAAATATTTTCGAAGCTCTACGGCCTTGCCTAAGGTCTTTTCCAGCAAAAAAAAGGTGCGCAAAAAAAGGTCGCATTTGTCCCACCCCCGATGGAAAACTAATCAAGAGCACCTAGGATTTAAAAAAATTAATGCGCCAATTTCACTTAAACGATTATTAGATAAATTTCTATTTCTACGACTCAATAAATTGGCAAATTTATAGAATAATTACATTTATACGATTAAATCTATCACTACCGTTTTTTGTTCCATAAACTTGAAGTGAACAACCCCTCGTAGGACGCCATAAAACACAAAGAACCGCTTTGCTGCTGGATTTTCTAAAAAATAATAAACTCTGAGTTTAGGGCATTTTTTTACTAACTTTAACACATTCGCGACGACAGAATTTTGGGTGGCGTAGTCGTTATTGTTTTATTGGTGAACATTTAAAGACAATCCAAACTATTAGGGGTTTGCAAAATTTGCAAAAGAAGTCGAAATTTGGCTGCAAGACTATTTCGCGTCACAAGATCCGGAATCTTTCGAATCAGGCATCCGAAGTCTACGTAAAAAATGGAAAAATATAGTTGATAATTTTGTCGAGTACCTTTTGGAATAAAGTCTTTTATTATTAATTTTCGAGGTGTTTGAACGTTGCGTATAATACGCAGTTTCTTTTGCAAACCCCTAATATTATAGCTCATTTTATAGCCCTGAATCTTCTTTTAAAAACTAGTATAAAGTTACTTTCGAAATAAAATCTTTAAAAACTTGTGTTAACACCAAAAAATAATCGTCATTCTTGATCTTGAAACTCTAGTGGATTCTTGACGTTATCTGTCCTACCCATATATTACATAAATTACCGTATTCTCTCTAATGCTAGTGCACCCTGAGCGTTGCCTAAATTACTCGAAATCTTGAAAACCGCTTATCAGAACCGATCGATGTGGGATCGGAAAATATAGCTGACGATGAGATCTAGTGGGGGAGTAGAGTGTTGAGCTTCTGCGAAAACTTAGAAACCGTAAAATCGTCACCAACTCGGCTCGACGGGATGCACTACTATTAGAGAAAATACGGTATTCACCGACCTGATCTATACACTTACTAGGGAAGGTCGCCAACTTAAGTCGCCAACTATTTTTCCTAATAGTAGTGCACCGTAAGCTTCGTCTATATTGCTCGAAATCTTGAAAACCGCTTATTAGAACCATGTGGGGTCCAAAATGTAGCTGACGATGAGATCTTGTGGGGGATTAGAGTGTTGAGCTTCTGTGAAAACTTAGAGACCGTAAAATAGTCATCAACTTGGCTCGCCGGGGTGCACTACTATTAGAGAAAATATGGTAAATCGGGTTGCTTTTTATCGACCCTTTTCGTGTTATTTGTATGAATTCATGTGTTTTAATCTTAAATGTAGCGCACTTTATTTCAGGTCCTGAATAAAGTATCTATATATACATATTAGTATGGCCGTATCGTCATGAATGTGTTAATATAAGCAACTTACTGGTTGTAGCTGTACTGCCATTGGGATTGTCCAGTGCCTGCTAGATTTTGATAGATATACGTGTAGGGATTCCTCGTAACTAAATTTTTTTTTGCGTTTTATTTAAATTTTAGTTTTCTTTCTGTATACAGGATTATTGCAACCAATATTTTTTAAGGATAGAAACCGATAAAAGAGAAATCAACTCAAAAGCTTTAACAATTGATTTTTAAAGATAGATTAAACAAGAGAAACTAAAGAAGATTATCAAAACTTTGTCAAGATATCGACTCCGACGAGGATAGAAACAATGGATGTGAGAGTGAAAACGATTCAATTTCGAGCGCCGAGGGATTTGATGGAATTTTTACAAGATCCGGATCTAATAGAGGATGACATTATCAAGTGAGAATGAAGAATAATGTTGTTATTAGTTTTTGGAACTAACATTGAGGCCTCAAAGCTGGTGCAATAATCCTGCCGCACCCTGGACTAGGTCTTAACATTAAGAATACCGTAAATCCTCTATTAGAACAGCATCCTCTAATAGAGCGGCACCTCTCTAGCTTAATTTGTCTTCTCTAGAAATTCAAAAACCTATTTTGTATTGTTTTTTCTGTTTTATTTCATAAATATAGGCTTATATTCATATAAATATCAATAGCAGTAAAATTGGAAAGTGGTTTTTGAAAAAAATCAAAAAAATTTCCGAAAAAAATTGACAAGGAGGGATTTTTTGGAATCTATCTCGGATAGGGTCCGAGAGAGGATTTTGTTTTCATTCAAAATGTGTTTTTAGGCGTTCTAGGGCAAGCGCTAAAATAGTTTAAATAGTTTTTAGTAAAAATATTTTTTAGTCAAATATTTTTTGAACCCTTACCAATTTTTTTGGCCTGCCGATTTTTTGAGGTCGAAAAATAGAGGATTAACACATTCGCGACGAGGCGTTTTTTTTGTTTGATTAAAAAAAAAAAAAAAAAAAAAAAAAATAAAAAAAAAGGTTTTGGAAAAAAAAAAGCCCCTTTTCAGGTTTTTTTTTTTTAAATTTTTTTTTTTTGGGGGGGGGGAGGGAAAAAAAAAAAAAAAAAAAAAAAAAATTTTTAAAAAAAAATATAAAAAAAAAAAAGGGGGGGAAGGGAGGAGGGGGAAAAAAAGGGAGGAAAAAAAGGGGGGGGGGGGGGGGGTTTGGGGGGGGGGGGGGGGGGGGGGGGGGGGGACCCCCCCCCGGGGCGGCTTAATAGATCTATTAGAGGATTTACAATATGTATCAAATAATATAGAACAATATAGAATGTTAGCAAAGGAAGCTAAAGGCAAAGGAACCTAGAGTCAAAATAAGTACAATAAGGAATCGCGTTTGCTTTTTACCGTAATTGAATCGACTTGTTGTTAGCGGATAGTAGCGTCGGGAAAAGATGACTTCAGAAGACGAATGAGATTGCATTTGGTTCTTGTAAATTTCAGTTGTTTTATACCAAACACATGATGTATTCGTGGCTGACCAATAGTAAGTGCCACAAGTGAGATTTTGGACACAATTGTTGTGACAGTCTTTGAGAGTTTTGAGATGAGTCTGGTAGAGAGCTTGTCCATCCCGATATTGATATTGATGCTCCCAGTAGTAGGTCTAGAATGTTATTTAGAGAAATTGTGCAAAAACATTGAGAACGTTGACTTCTTTCGGGTATTTTCTTCTCTTCGCCTTGTATTTTTCTTTCCCCTGACAAGAAGATACCGGATAGCTCAGTGGAGAGCATCTGCAAAGAAAAGGTCGAGGGTTCAATCCCCTCTCCAGAATCTTTCTTTGCCATTTCTTACTGGACACATAAAGAACTCACAATTGGAAGTGTCATAGGCGGATCGGCAGGGACACACTCTCCCGGTGTTGAAGGAAGAACCGGACTGCCATCTCGCGATATCATCATTTTTTTAGTCGTATTCCAGTAGTACCCACCAGCAACCACAGACGTGGAAAGCAGAAAAATCAAAAGTTTAAGGAACATTCCTATAAATTAATGGCAGGCCAATGGCAGTCCAATGGCAGGCCAATGGCGCAAGGAGGCCAAGGCGCAATGGCAGGCAATGGCAGCAATGGAGGCCAATGGAGTCAATGGAGGCCAATGGCGCAATGGCAGGCCAATGGCAGTCCAATGGTAGGCCAATGGCAGTCCAATGGTAGGCCAATGGCAGTCCAATGGTAGGCCAATGGCAGGCAAATGGCAAAGCTTAACAAAGCTGGCAAGTTAAAGAAAAGAGCTAATAATGTTCAACGAGAAAAAAAATTGGTTTTAAGGAACTGAAATGAACTATTGGGTTGATGCATAATCAATCACCGCTTTGGGTTGATTGGGTTGTTGGTTGATGGCTGATGATTGGTTTGATGGTTGACTGGGTTGATGCATAATTAACCACTAGTCAAGTTCGGAATTAGGTTTCTCAAGAACTACTCAACCGATTCTCGTAGGAACATTGCCTACCCCTTCATTTATAGCTCATTGGATTGTTGTTTACATCAGCTACAATTTTCTTTTCAACCATTCTAGGCGTTTACCTTCAGACGGGTTTATAGACGCTTTTGTGGAAAATGAGATTTTTTTCAAAAATCAACTTTTTCCTCAAACCCTCATAAAAAAAGTTTCACGCAATCTTCAGAAAACTTCTGTAGCTTAAAAATATCTTGATGTATCTAGCTTTAAAATAAAAAAAAAGAAGACGAGAATCGGTTGAGTATTTCTTGAGAAACCTAATCCCGAACTTGACTAGTCAGAGGAACGGCGGTTAATTATGCATCAACCCAATAGATAGGTAAATGATTGGACTCAAAGTTTTTCTGGTTTGAAGCCAAATTTTACAGTAAAACTAAGCCACTTATACAAAGTCAGTAAATTAAGAAGCTAAGGACTTCTCTCTAGAATAATGGTCAGAGCTGAAGAAATATAGTAGTGATTAAAGCATAAATGAAAGGAAATCTTTTCGAAAAACGATTAAAAGCCGTTGGTTTCTTTGCACTGATTCATCGTTTAAAATCTGTCTTCAATCTGGCGATCAAAATCCCAAAAACGAAAATTTTGGGTGGGAACGGTTGTTAGGAAGTCGCCGATGAAAAATGGTGAACATTTAATGTTCGAAAAACGAAAATTTTTAGATAGAAACGGTCGTTAGGTGGGTGTCGACGAAAATGGTGAGCCGTGGAATTCAAACGAAAATTTTGATAGCAACCGTAGTTAGACTATCGCTTTATGGAGATGATGGGACTTTGACGGATCGCTATGGGATTTTGAGCGAAATTTTGTCTACAATATTGAAAGAGCTTGGCCTACAATATTGAAAGAGCTTTGTACTGTATTTGCCTAAAACATCTACCGTATCATCAACTAGAAGAGCTCGCTACTGAAAATGAAGTTCAGCCTTGCGGTTTCGTCTTTGAAAGGTCAGAATTGATGCTTTGTGATGATGTGATGTGTGATGATGATGATGAAAGTGATGTGATGTAGACATGTGCATTTTCGAGTTTTGGGTCAGCGGGTCGGGTCAAGCCAAAAATTTTCGCCGGGTCGGGTCAACGGGTCACCCGGGTAAAAGGCCGGGTCACGGGTCGGGTCAGAGGGTTACTTGACTAGAGTGTGTTCCTTGCAGACAACGCGTTTTCTAAAAAGCGCTCGCCAAGGATAAGCTACCGTAACCCTATGTTTTGCATCAGCAAATTTTTCAAAATGCAAATGTACATTAAAATCTTGCGCTCTTTTTTTCTATTACTCTTTTCTTAACTCTATTACTCTTTCCTTAACTCTATTACTCTTTCCTTAGCTCTATTACTCTTTCGCTAAAACTTAAAATTTTTAAAATGCTATGGAAAATTAAAGAAAACCTTTAAAAAGGGAAAAGTTAAGAAACACTATTAAAAAAATTATATTATTTACGAATTTACCAGGCCTATGGTCTACATTTGCACTAAAACCATTCCAAAAAATTCCACGCCCTAAAAAACCTAAATCCTTAAATAAACCTATCCATTACTACATTTTAAGAAAAGTTTGCAAATTTTTTTCGCGCGACCTTTATAGCTTTGCTTAAAAAGCGCACCTTTTAGAAAACGCATTGTCGGAAGTTTGTCGGATCAATTGTCTGACAAAAAAGTTGTCAATGAAAATTTGTCTGACAAATTGTCTGTCACAAGGAGCACACTCTACACTTGACCCGATCCGCCCCGACCCGACCCGAGACGACTCGACCCGATGCCCATGTCTAATGTGATATGATTTGATGTGATGATGAAAAGTTAAAACTTCATGGTGAACGGTAAAAAGCTAAGTTAAAAATTAGAACCCTCTTCCCTTGAAAGCCCCATATGCAAATTTTTATGCTGGCCAAAAGTGGCATCATCGTGAATGTGTTAAGTTGCATAGAACCAGAATTTAATTGATTTAGGTGCGATACTCTTTCTGTTTCTTCTCACCGCAACAAAATCCGATGACTATGATTGTGAGTTTGTATTTTAACTATTAGTACACTGTATTCCTCTTAAGAAACAAGGGGATTTTCTCAGCTTTCAAGCTTTTCGTTTACTAGTTTACTGTTTTAAACTTAGTATTAGGCTACTGCTCTTAAAATTAGTGATCTTAGATTGATACTTATTCTTGAACAAACTTGCAAAAACACTTTAGCTAATAGTAAGAGCAAGAAAAAATTTACTTGCATCAATGCTGTTGTCTAATTGAATTGAAATTATCGTAAATATTTTTATATTAGGTTGGTGAATTGAAAACTGCCGGACTTTGAACTAAAATTTCTTCAACATAAAACCATGAATTCATTCCAAATAATTTCCATTATTATTGACGACTTCTGCCCATTTTACAGGCATTTTGCGGATTCCTCTTTCGTAGTAGGATTTTGGTTTGTGTGTGAGACAAGTGTGAGACTCAAAAATGGAGATGTCACAGTTTGAGCACTTTCTTCAAAAGAAACCCATTTTGGTGTCAATAGAAAAGTTGTAGAGAATCGAAAATTAGGCTTATAGCCAAATTTCCAAAAAGATGCACTTAGTAGTTTCGCTTAAAATGCAAGTTTTGTGAAAATTCGTAAATTTGGCATTTTTTGAAAATCAGTTTTTGAATCGTTCTGAAAATTTGGATATAAGCTTCATTTTTGATTCTCTACAACTTTTCCATTAACACCAAAATGGGTTTCTTTTGAAGAAAGTGCTCAAACTGTGACATATGACAATAGCCCGCAGTTTTCAATTCACCAACCCAATAGTTTACTGTTTTAAACTTAGTTAGACTACTGCTCTTAAAATTAGTGATCTTAGACTAATACTTATTCTTGAACAGACTTTCAAAAACACTTTAGCTAATAGTAAGAGGAAAAAAAATTTACTTGTATCAATGCTGTTGTCTAATCGAATTGAAATTATCGTAAACACTTTTATAGAAACTGCCGGCTGGGTGTTTTTGTGTTTTTGTTGGATACCCGGCTTTTAACGTCATTAAGCTTTTTTAGTTTATAACTTTTATTTAAAGTCTTTTAAAAGTTGAACATTTTGCTATTTGAGAGTTGATAAATCCGAAAAAATGAATTCCGTCTAAAGGAGCTCTTCTATTGGAGTGTTCTTCTAATAGCTCTTCAATTGGAATGAATACTGCAGTCTCGAATAATAGTAAACTTGATTTAGTGACTGAGCTCATGTGTGAAGAGTATTATGCTCTCTTATTCGATCTCAGTTGCGGCCCCAGAGCATGCAGTGCCAATTGGACAAATAAAGTGGATACAACGACGACAACGACTACGACAACTACGACAACAACAACGACAACACCGACTACCACGCCGAGCTCGACTACCAAATCAACCACTCCAACAACATCAACAACTCCGACTACGGCGCCAACAACTCGGTCTACAACCACTCCAACCATTCCAGCAAGGACAACCACTCCATCAACTACTCCAAATATTTCAACAACGGCGACGATCACTCCAACAACTCCGTCAACCACCTCAACTACTCCTCCAACTCCCAAAACTACTCCTTCAACAGCCTTAACTACTTCAGCAACTACTTCAACTACTCCAGCAACCCCAACCACCACGGCTTCAAAATCAACCTCACCAATTTTCACTAAAATCACACCCTCAACTACGTCGCTAACTTCGACAACTAGGAAAAGTTCAACTACCACTACCACCAAAAGCTTAACTTCAAAAGAAAGTTTTTCGACCAGCTCTACTATCACAACTACAACTTCAACTACCACGATCCCAGCTGATTCAACAACTCAACCATTCAAGGATGAACCCACCACGGCTTCCGCTTCAAATGATTTCCAATCATTTTCGAAAACTTCAATTTTGGTAAAAACAACTGGTGAGGAGTCAACAACCTCAACTAGATCGACTTCAACTTTGCCAATCAGCTCAACTCCGGAACTGACCACTTCAACTTTGCGAACCACTTCGTCAAACATTGACTCGACGACTTCAAGTTTAACTCCTTTGACAAGCTCAACAGCTGCATCAACCACTTCTGAATCGGCTACAATTGAAGAACCAACTGATACAAGCTCGACTTTGGTGACTACGACAACAACTACCATCTCGGATATGGAAACCACTGCCGATGATGGGACAATGACAGCAACTTCCTCAACTTCGACAACCACCACAACGACTACAATTGAAGGAATCTTGACAAGTTCAATTGCTGAAACGACTGCTGAAACGAAAACTACAGCCGGAGCAGCAAATGCAACTGAAAAACCAACTATTTCAAGTACAATCCAGACAAGTGAGCAAATCGAGCGCTTGAATACAACTATAGAAAAGGCTACAGTACCTTTGACTCCCCAAGAAGACTCGGAAACAACTACTGAATCGACTACAACTTCAACTGAGTTAACCACCACAATGATGACTATGGAGGAGATTAATATGACTTCATCAACTCAATTTGGAACGACCCAATCAATTAGAAATGCAACTGAAGAGGTATAGCTTAAAATAGATTTAATAAATTCTAATTAGAGTAGTGTTTTCGAATCATGAAACTTTAGGACACAACTGGGGAACACGAGAGCATAACTGAATTAACTACTACAGAAATGCCTTCAAATAAGACAGTGATATTTGAGTCCACAATTGAAGTTGTTTCAACTGAAGCTTCAACGGGAAAGAATCAAGAGATGACTACGGTAAGATGGTCAGAAAATAGTAAATGGGCAATACTTAGGTAGGGATTAAGAATTAGGATTTAACTTAAAGCTTAATTTGTTAGCCCAGTTATCAGTTAGCTATAGTACTACTGAGATATATATCTATATAACTATATAGCTACCGTAAATACTATAATAGTACCCCACCCCCTCGTACAGTCGCGTAGTCGCAGAAGTTTTTTAGTATTTCATTTTTTTTCAAAGCGCCCGTACTTTCAAAAAATGCGTCTTTGGTATGAAAAAAATAGCTGAAATTCAGGGCTATTTTTTGATACCTAAGCGCACATTGTAGCATAAACCAGTGTCGAGAAAAACTCGTTCAAAGCTAGACTACGCAGCACTCCGCATCGTCATTATGGGGGTGGGGTACTATTACAGTATTTACGGTATATAACTCATCAGCTTGATAAGATTGATCAGCTTACTTTTTCTCTAGAGATCGACTAAATCGATTACCGACATCGAGTCTTCCGCTCAAGCTATCTCGAAGATGACCGACACCACAGTTGAATCGATTGCCGAAGAAGTTTCACTGGTACTTTGAAATTTATGATTCGAATACAAATGTAGTTTTAGACGAGTTTCGAAACAACATTCAATGTGACTACTATGACTGGCGTGCACACAAACCCAATCATTGTGGGAACAACGATCACAGCTGAATCCACGGTAACATCGACAACAACTCCAATCTCTACTCAAGTAAATTTAAATCTTTAAAAATAACTACTTCTATAGTTACTTTAGTCGTATTTTGTATGATTTTGTACGACTAGAGTTTTATAGTTGTACAAAAGCTAATCAAAATTTTAGGAAAGCACAAAACCGACAACAAAACCGGAATCAACGATTGAGACAGATGAATCGACTACAACCAAACCATCAACTAAACCTTCAACCACCGAGGCTCCAATGACTGACAAGGAAAAAGTAAAACATGCTATTTTTTGAGCTTAATCTTTAGCAAGTTACTGAATTATTTGATAAGTGTCTGCTTTTCTTATGCAACAGTGCAACAAAATGCAACAGTTTCCAATTCTAGGCGCCAACCACTCTCTCGGAGATTTTGTTGACTCTCCAACCCATCGATCCATCCACCATTTCGCCATCGAGGGTAACGAAACTTTCAGTTGCAATCTTTTGTGATTTCGCTATTCTATTGTTTTGCCTTATTCCGTTGTTGAGCTTCAATTGAGTATTTGTTTTGGTTTTGATTGTTTTTGATTGGTTTTGATTGTTTTTGATTGGTTTTGATTGTTTTTGATTGTTTGTGTCGTGTTGAATTCGGCTATTCTCGACTTCTTTCAATAGTTAGGCTAATATTAGACTTGTACACATCTCTCAATTTTGAATTCACTGCTTACAGTTGTAGCTGTAAGCAGCTTACAGTTGTAGCTGTAAACAGTAGCTGTAAGCATTTTGATGCTTTTATAAATAGAAAGCTAAGTTACAGTAGTCTTTTTTCTAAAGCGCATCTTTTGAAATTGATTTATTTTAAGTTTACAATCACTACAGTTTAAGTAGTCTACCTATAGTTAGCTTTGTTAATAACATCTTGTTATTAAATGGCCACGACGTTATTGTTAGCATCTTGTTATTAGATGGCCTTGTTAATAAGATCTTGTTATTAGATGACTACTGGAACGACTGATGGAACGACTACTGGATCGACTTCTGGACAAACTACAAAACCAACCACAAATTCGACCGGTTAGTTGTTTGAAATTTTATAGTAGTTTACAGGCCACTAAACTAGTTTAACGCTAGAGCTTAAACAAAAATCAATTCTGCTTCAGTAAAATCTGATCTACTCTTAAACTTTTTGCTAGATCAAAGCTCAACTTTAGACTCTCTCTTGATGACAGGGTGGACCAACTTTCCCTCAACGATGCCAACAGGTTTAGCGTCAAATTTTAATTTATAATTAGTCAAGTTTAGTCATCACTCAGCTTCCAGTCCCAGCCCCTTCAACTCCAAAGCCGACAACGGCAACTGTGACTCCAACTACAATAACTCGATCAACCACAAGGCCCACAACCAAATCGACGACAAAGACCACAACTGAAAGCCCAATGGTGGCCACAACAAGGACAATTATGAGAACTGTGGAAACTCCTAATGATTCGACAACAATTCCCGTCACAATCACCTATCAAACGACGGAGACGGTGGCTGATATTTTGAGCACAATGCCGGGAAAGACGACTACTACAGAACAAGCTACAAAGAAGCCGACAACTACTACAACTGCTAAAGCCTCAATTCCAACGACAACCGAGCCAACCACTCAACAATCAACTGTCTCGACCTCGACAGCATTGACAACTAAACCAACCGCCACTACAACCACTACTACACTGACGGCTATATCAACGGCTACAACGACTGATAAAACTATAGCTGCACCAACAATAACAACTACGGCTGTGCTGAGCACAAGATCATCAACCTCAACTACAAACACAACGACGACTGAGCCCAAGGTTAGTTGTTTAATCGAATAGTAAGTTTTTATAACCGTTTTCAAATCACTTATTGTAGTAGGAAACAGCATTATTTCAAAACCAGTTTTAGAAGTGAGTTCTTGTGGATAGACTTGTGAAATTATTAATCAGAAATTTCAGAGCACTATCGACTTGGAGTGCAATGGAAACCCGATGTCACCGATGCCTTTTGAGGGAATGGTCCCAAGCAAGACAACTTGTAAGTTTGGAAAAATTGCCAATGAAATATAGAAATACTAGATAATCTTACAATAAATCTTAGATTTTACTACAAACTTTTCATTCCTAAATTCTAGGTGGAGCCTGGGCCTTCGATGTCTTTGAATCGACCACAACTGGTTTGAAACCAACAAACACAACTGGTTTCTTATCAAAACAGATCCATTTTAGTGCCCGCCTCCTGCCTCATCGCTTGCCCAACTGGATACACCAACTTTGCTCAATAGTAAGTTTTTAAACCAGTTTTCAAATCAATTATGATAGTAGGAAACAGGATTTTTCCAGAGCCAGTTCTAGACAAATCAAATCAGCAAGGCTCTAGCTCTGGCCTCTGCCCCAGGGCTAGTCTGTCAAAGAAAGCTCAGTCTGAGCCTAGTTTTTGACCTTGTCCTGGCTTTTGGTCTGATCCTAGCCTTGCATAGCCTATGTTCTTGCATAACCCAGCTTCTAGAACCTGATTAGAAAATCTCTAATGGAAGAGTTTTATAAAAATCAAAACTGCTGGTTTTTCGTTGCCTCAAGACCCAATCGATGGCGATCGCCACCTCGTATATGGCCGCCTACACCAGTTGCTGGGTAAATTTTGAAAACTTATGAAAACTTGTGATTCAAAACTTAGAAAGAAACTAAAGGGTGCTATTCGTTTATACTTTCCCCATCCGTTTTTGTAGATCCTTTTCAGATTTATGAGAAAAAGTGTGGATAGTTTAAGAATCAGATATGTTTAGGTTATTCAAACTTTCAGAACAAAGGTATTTTAGGTAAGTAGATGAAAGGTAAATAAAACAAAGAGCTTCAAAGAGCTTCAAAGAGTGGGTTTAAACTCGAAACCTTTCCCTATAAATCAAAGAATTTCAGCTGGAAAACGCCGTGCTTGTTGGGCTCGTTGACTTTGTCAACGAGACGATGGTGACTGAAATGGCCAAAATTGCGTAGGTTTTTAAGAAATTTTTTTAAAATAAGCATAAAATTGAAATGCTAAATGAACTTTTATCAAAGAAAGGTTTTCAGTGACGCCTCTGGAAACCCAGGAAGCCTCTACTACATCAACATGAGAGGGAACAAAGCACAGAAGAGCTTCAAAGAGGTTTGGCTAAAATGTTTGTTTGTAAACTTAATAAATATCTAAACTTTTGTTGATTAGTGCACTAAATTCTTTATCTTTCTTTAACCTTTAACCTTTGGTGTACAGGTTTTTCATTAGTCCCTAAGCTCGTTTCATTAGTTGTCGTGAGTAAAGCGTTTTCTAAAAGGTGGGTAATTTAAAAGGCTAATTTAAAAGGCTACCATAATCTTTCCGTAAGAGAACTTTCTAAAAGTTTGATAATCTGAAAAGCTATCGTAATCTTTTATTTAGGTTTTGTTCGCAATCTTATTTAACAGAAATAGAACAGTTCATAATCCCTTTGATCCTCGATTCCTTGTCAAATGAGATTGCGGCAATAGCTGAATGGACTAGCTGAATGGCTGAATGGCTGAATGCAGCAATAGTTGAATGGACTAGCTGAATGGCTGAATGGCTGAATGCGGCAATAGCTGAATGGACTAGCTGAATGGCTGAATGCAGCAATAGTTGAATGGACTAGCTGAATGGCTGAATGACTGAATGCGGCAATAGCTGAATGGACTAGCTGAATGGCTGAATGCAGCAATAGTTGAATGGACTAGCTGAATGGCTGAATGGCTGAATGCGGCAATAGCTGAATGGACTAGCTGAATGGCTGAATGAAGGACTAGCTTTCCAGATTACCAGACTTTTAGAAAGTTCTCTAAATCCTATGCAATAATAACAAGTTAAGAAGATTCAATCTTGATCAAGAAAAATCTTTTTAGAGTGACCTCTACGACTACAGCCTCTTCAAACCGCTTATGGACGACCCACCAGAACCGATCATCCAGCAATACAACATGTTGGACACAGAGCAATCTGGAATCGTCACGATCTGCAAAAGAATGGGTGATTGGGGTTTAAAAGCTTAAAACTTCAAGCTGAAAGATTCATTATATATAAAAGGAAAGTGTCTGTCCGTTCGTTCATCTGTACGCGCGGCTTTCAGCTTTCCGTGGGCTGATTTACATGATTTTTAGTTTTTTAGGCTTAGAATTCTATGTAGTTGTGCATCTCATATCGCGTTTTTTCAAAAGCAAAAGTCACGACACAGCCGAGAGTCAAATCCGGATCGCGCGGGCCGTAGACAAGCGCGCTCCCGACTGCGCCACGAGGACAAAACCGCGTTAGCCCCAGAACATCGAAAAGCCCACCGTTAGGCGGATTTTTCAGCTGGTTTAAACTACAACTCAAATTTTAGCCTACTGTCAACCGCCAAGATGCCCACTCCAAGAGTTTAACCTTTTCGTTGACCCGGCGATGATCGAGTACCCGACCGAGGCGATGACATTGGGTAAGTCGTGAATAACCGTCTAATAACGTCAACTCTAGTCATATTTTTATAAAATATATTGAATACTTTAGGTGGCTACACATTCAAGCTAAAGTGCCTGCAGAATGCCTCGAATTCGGTCCAAATGAAGTGCACCGAGAAAGGCTACTGGGCCCCTCACCCGTCACTTCTTAATTGCCCGTCATTTGGTAACTAAAAAAGTCTAAGATAAACTAAAATAGTCAAGAAAAACTACTTTGTGCTCAGTACTCTTGTGCTCAATACTCTTAAAAGCTAGAATTTGTTTTTGAATCATTGTTCTTTCAAGGCTCGAAGGAAAACCTTTACTTGCTATTTTTTAAAGCTTCAATAAGATTCTAGCTATTAACTTTTTGAAAGATTTAAGCTTTCAGTATTGAGCTTTCATTATTGTTAAGTAAAGCTAGAATCTTATTGAAGCTTTAGAAAACAATTATAATTAATTTAGCTCCGCCACCACCGGTCGACCGAGGTGAGGATGAGGTGATGAACTACACAAAATGGCACGACAGCTGTGATGAGTAAGTGCAGAATTATAAGAAAATTTGGCTAAAGTTAGATCAACCTCAGATAAGTAATTCTGTATTTTTCATTCAAAACTTTCTTTCAGATTAGACATGAACACTACAAACTACAAACGTAAACTACAAACGCTTCTAAATTGCTTCAAATCTACCGGATTGAAATGACCTAAAGCTCAAAAAGTCGAGAATCACAAGAGCTTTCGAATGGACCAAAGCACACCCAAAAACATCAAAGCTAAAGAAAGTTACAGTGGTTTGTAGCCTGACTCGATCGCTTCGACGCCCGAGTAAGGTCCGTTTCGAGTTAGGACTACAAACCATTGTAACTCTCTTTACCTTTATTATGCCTTAGTCCATTCGAAAGCTCTTGAGATCCTCTATTTTTTGAGCTATAGCTCATGTTAATCTGGTAGATTTGAAGCAAGTTAGAAGCGTTTTTAGTGTGACAGTTCGTCATTTTTGTAGTTTATAGTGCCCATGTCTATTTCAGATGTAACCCCAAGGGTACCCGGCACTGCTTATTCCGGGAGAAGGACGAGAAGACCAAGGCCAAGGAGTTCCGATGTGTTTGCCAGGATGGATGGAATGTGAGTTTTGGAAAACTTTCGCTTTATTATATTTTGCATTGCTCAACATTAGCAAGTACATTTTAGGGCCTCTACTGCACGTTCAAGCCCGAATTCTGCAGAAATGCCAGCAAAGACTACTGCAATCTCGGCAAATGTGTGGATGGAGAAAAAGGAGCTCGGTTAGTGCTGAAATCTTAGTTCTTTTATAATAAAAGAGTGTTTTATTAAAATTTACATGCAATCGGCTCGGCAAAATTGTTTATTTTCAGATGTGACTGCATGCGTCTATGGATTGGCGGCGAGTTCTGCGAGTACAACTTCACCAAGCGCGCCCTCCTCCCCACCGGTGATGAGGTAGCTCAAATAGGTCTAATAACTGAGCTATTTAACTTTACTTTGAAAAACTATCTTTAAAATGATCAGAATCAAATTTAGTTACAGTAAAGCTTTCACTTTACGAGACAAGCACGTAGTTTTACAGCTGGCTATTGTATAGCTAGCAAAAAGTTCTTGATTCGAAAGCTTATCTTGTTATTTTATTGTTTCTGAATTTTTATTGGATGATTAATTATTGAAATTGTAATTGAAATTGAGTAATTAAACGAAAAGATTGTTAGATAATAGATTGTTATACTCAGAACCTCAACTTTCAGCTCCCTATCTTCGATGGAACTTATGTCAGCTACACGAGTCTTCTCATCTTGTCCATCACAATCCACGTCTCCCAGGTCCATAAAACAAAACTTGCAGACAGTAAGGCATAATGTCCTACCCATAGCGATGGGATACACGTCAGTGTAGCTCGATGGTAAACCGTTCGTCGGGTAGGCGAAAGGTCGCAGTTTCGAATCCCGGCGCCGATCAGCTTTTGTTTTTCTCAGCCCCAATCCATGAAAGAATCGCATCGGCGTGTCCACGCAGATTCTTTTATGAATTGGGGAGCTAGATTACTGTAACTAGTGTACTCTTAATCGAAACTGAAAAAATTTTTTAGTCGTGGCTCAATATCGCCAAGAGCAACGTCGTCTTCCCCCGAAATAGTCGGAAGGCTGATGTGAGTTTCTGTTTCTAAAGGATCAAAATCCCGTTCCCGTAAATGACTCATTTTCTAAATAAAAGCTAAAACGAAATTTCCCGTGTTTTCTAGTATTTTGAAGCTGAAATTCTGATGAACATTTCTATAAGTAAATCACTCGAATCAGAAATTTCCAGCCTTTTCAAGAGCTTTCAAGCCTTCTTGCAATTTATTCAAGGCAAACAGCCACCGGCAACAGTTTCGCATGTTTTTAAAGAATATTTTACGTTTTTATTTTAACAAGAGATTTTATTCTTTCAAAATAACGATTGAACTGTTACTTCAAACAAAATCGTGAATTTAATAAGGCTTTTTGAAGGGTTTTTCAATTGAAAACAAGTTCGAATAGGTGAGGTTCATAATAGTTTCCCTCCAGCGAACTACAATGCTTCTTTGAAGAGCTGTGATCTCTGATCTCTAGGTAGCTCTGATCTCTAGGTAGCTCTGATCTCTAGGTAGCTCTGATCAGAATGGTCTAGGTGTAGAAATGCTCCCCAGAATTTCAGCTTCAAAAACTAGTAAGTCAAATTTCGATCTGGGATTTAGCTGAAAAAAGCTTCTTTTGTAAGGTCGCGTCCGTTTCCTTCCTATTTACGTTGCTATTTTGCAATTATTCGCGTCGCATTTTTCGTCCTTTTTCTCCCTTCCCGAAATTATTTTTTTTGGTCTGCGGGTTTTGCCTTCTTTCTGGGGGAGACTTTGTTGTTTCATTTTTGATGCGCATGCTGTTTTTGTAAAGGGTATTGTTGCATTTCGGTTCTGTACTAATAAACAGTAACCTTATAAATTTACTTTACTTTATGCTACCCTTCAGGTTTTAAATCCTGTTTAGATAACTGTTTAACATTGTTGAGAGACTGGTTTTACGAACATTTGTGTCACCATCGACTTATTAGGTTGATGCAAAAGTCTTTTTCATTTTTTTCGTACTTCCGGTAAAAAGTAACAAATGCACCAATTGAACAACGGTTTATTGCATTCGAAAGGCCAATTATTTTTCTGCAAAATGACATTAAAACGAGTTTAAAATGTCTTATGTCTAGATTTTTTTGAGAGCCTGAAGTCGGGTAGTCAAAAAAGGCGACGGCTCGATGATGCATTTTAGACGCTTTAGCTAAGGAAACCAATCTTGATGTTAATAAATAAAAGATAGAGCACAAAAAGTTAGATATTTTTCCAGATTTTCAGAGAAATTGATTCAGCCAATTTCTTTATAGAGGTTTTTATAGATTTTTATGAAAAACCCGTTTTCACTCTCGAATTTGCTTGAAAGTGAACCCAAATTGACTTAAAAAGATGGGAAATTGAACAATAAACACTTTTCATTCAGAGCAAACCATAGGTTAATTGATGACTTTGTTATTTTTCAAAAGAAGTACGAAAAAAATGAAAAAGACTTTTGCATCAACCTAATAGTATCAATCCGATCTGTACCCTTCTCAAGAGTATTAATCTATTGTTGGATACTACGTGTTCTTGTTAAGTTGTAAGCGCTTTTGGGGAAACCCTTTTAACCTTTTGTGCTATTCGGCCATTCTTAAGCAGAATCATCCTCGTTGCTAAGGTTAAAGCGGGTCGCACCCCAAACTGTAAAGCGTGTGGGAACTTTTTGATCACTCTCTAATTCTTGATTCTTGATTTTTTTTCTTTTTAATCTCCTAATCGCTATCACCAAAAGTGAACTCTTTAAGTTTTAAACTCCAAAACTAACTTTAAAAATGATATCAATTCTAGTCAGTTCATTTTTGAGCAGCTGCTTGACTCCAATCATTGCTAAATCATTGCTAAACCATTGCCACCCGAAGCCACTTGAGTTCTAGTCTTTATTCTTTTGAAGTTGAATCTAAAAATGAATTTTGAGTTGCTTAGGTAACTCTTAAAATCAAATCTGATAAATTGCAATTAATTAATTAATTAATTCAATTAATTAAAATCTATTTTAGTGCATCCAGAGCGTCTCACAGAATTTTGTGGTTTCTGTGACAGCAATCTGGTCAGGATTCCAGCTCGTCTTCGACCACCCGCCGATTTTCGCCGTGAGTTTTTAAAAAATAAGAAATATCTTCAAAAAACCAGATAAGCTTATCAAAATCATTATTTTTCACCTCTCAAACTTATCAATTTCAACGATTTCAGGTGAACCTCGTTGCTTGCCGCCTCTCCCATTGGTTTCTCGCTCTTTGCAGCCAATTTGGTAATTTATCCATTCATTTTCTGCAATAATCAATTTTAGTGGCCTGGAACTGGTTAGTCCAATCGTGGAACGCGTACATGGTGAGTTCTCAGTGAATCAGATTTTCAAAAATCAATCAATTCAAGGATTTCTCACAGTAAACTGAGTGCAAATCACTCCGAGAATTGCTAGTGAACTTATAGTTACAGTATTTTGTATTAGAGATCGATTTTCAATAAATATAATTGTTCTGTAATGATTGTTATCAAGGTTTGACTCATTACAGCACTCCAAGAACTTCTACCAAGCTTGAACTGACTTGGATCCTCAAAAAATGAAAATCTATTGTTTGAGTCTAATACAGTATTTGGAATAATACAGTATACTAATAAAAATGAGCCTAATACAGTATTTTGCTAATATACATTGTCCTAAATCTTATAGCTTTTAAAAGCAATCAATTTTTCAGGTGGTAAGCGGTCGATCGATCAACCAATACAACGAGGACATCGATGGAAAAAGGAGATGGTGGCTTGGACCATTCGTAAGTTAACCAAGAATAATAAGAGACACTTAGAATTGTAAAACGACCTTTAAATCTAAATCTTAAACTTTAAAATAACTTGACTAATCAATTTAGTTACGACATTGATTTTCAGACCGATTGTGAGACCTTTTATACGCGCCCCGCCCCTTTGCCATTGACAATCCAACTTTGAGCTCAAATTTCTTGGGGTTGGACTGTTCAATTCAAATAGTTTTTATACCAATCGATAGAGAAAGACTTGGCGCATCTAATGACATTAAGAATATTTAAATTGGACAGCTGGACACAAAGATATTTGAGCTCAAAGTTAGATTGTCAAGGGTAAAAAGGGCGGGGCGCGTATAAAAGGTCTCACAGTGGCCCCGCCGCTTTGCCATTGGCAATCCAACTTTGAGCTCAAATATCTTGGTGTTCGACTGTTCAATTCAAATAGTTTTTATACCAATCGATAGAGAAAGACTTGGCGCATCTAATGACATTAAGAATATTTAAATTGGACAGCTGGACACAAAGATATTTGAGCTCAAAGTTAGATTGGCAATGGCAAAAGAGGCAGGCGTGTATCAAATGTCCGATAACCTTTCAGACCCTTTCACTGTTCCCCTTCTACGTCTTTCTCTGGTTCAACTCGTTCGTCGCCTTGTACGGCTACAACCAGGTCAGATAATAGACTTTCAAATAAAATACTCTATTTTAAAAGTAATAGCTAGTGTACTTTTCTTGTCTAATGTAAAGATGTAATCAATTTTGGTGTTTCGAACGAGATTTACAATCAAAAAGCCTTCGTACTAGACAGCCTTTTCGCTTTAAAGTTGTAATCTTAAAAAAGTTATCCCTGGCTATGTTACGAATAAAATTATGAACTTAAAATGCACAAATACAACAATTTTTCTTTATTAACATTTTAGATGGGCTCACTCTGGACCTGCTCCGCTCGATTCACCGCCGATACGTGAGTTTCTCGTCTTTACAAACCTGTCAAAGTTTCTCACAAAGCTTAAAAGTGTACGATAAATACTTTTGAAAGTTTATAGAATAATAATTTTCATATTTTTCAGGTATCTCATTTGGGGACCTGAATTGGCGATGCAAGTAGCTCTGTTCGGGTTTGCCTGGGGATTCAATATGGCTGCCCAATTTAGGAGAGCGTAAGTGGTTTGAAACTTGTTAATTTGATTGGTCAAATTCATAATTTTGCTAAATTCTTTACAATTAATATCAAGATATCTTTTTTATATCCAAATTTAGTCAAACACCGCACGGATGGATTTGCACACTCAAATGGTTTGAAGTTAACCGTCCACTGGAAATCGAGAAAGCTTTGCGTGTGAGTGGTTTTTGAAAGTTCAGTAATCTGAAGCAGGTTTGAGAAGTAGACTAACCTGAAGCAGATTTGAGAAGTGCAGTAATCTGAAGCAGATTTGAGAAGTATACTAATCTCAATTTTGAATTGCAATAGTACGATAGAGGATGGTAAAGTAAGCTATCTAAATCCAGAAGTTGACTTGAGATTTTTAAATCTCTATGTTTTCAATCTCGATAAGAAACTATTTTAAGAACTAATAACTTAGTTAAAAACTTAGAAAGCTTCAATTTCTGTCCAATTTCAGGTCCACCGCAACCAGGTGTTCATGTGGTTAGGCCCACCACTCCAGTTAGCCTACTGGATCGCCGCCAACATGGCGAGCAACCGGAACACCTGTACCCTCACCTGGTAAACCTTTTAGCTTAAAAAATTAAAGAAGTTTAACTATAGTCTTTAATAGATTTCTTTTTACATGAAGTTGAACTTGACCTGTACAGAGTGATCAGAAATAACCCATCCTAATAGTCCGTTCTAGGCTCATATTTCTGTTATTTGTAGATCAAAACGATTAATTTATTTTTTAAATGAAAATTCACATCGTTTTCTGTAAATGTTTAAGATTTCATGACCATAGCATCGATAGATAAATTTTTATCAACGCTCAAAAATGGCTGGTCAAAAAACTAACAAGCCTCAATTCAAATTTGGAATTCTTCAAAAAAAAAACCCACAAAATAGTTTTTTCTTTGCAGTTTCTTTCTAAAAGTTAAGTTTTTGTTGTGTTTGAGCAAATTTAGTTCAAAAAATATTAAATGGATTAATATTTTTTATAAGATCATCGAGAAAGGAACCCTTAAATTTGAGTTGCGGCTCGTTAGTTTTTTGACCAGCTATTTTTAACCGTACATAAAAAATTATCTATCAATGCTATGGTCATGAAATCTTAAACATGTGCAGAAAATTATATGAATTTTCATTAAAAAAAGAAATGAAACGTTTTGATCTACAAATAATAGAAATATAAGCCTTGAAAAAAAGGACGCGTTATTTCTGATCACCCTGTTGTGTTGCGCTTGATGCATCTTTTTGGCTTTCTAAGAAAATACATTAAACTAAACTGAAAAACAACAACTAATCATAAAATCTTTTACAATTTTACATAAAATAGAAGACCTGTAATATTTTTAATGACTTTAACAACCTTAGCCGAGCACTACAAAAATGCTATACCTACGATGCTGAAAAACAGTTCAATTCGTGCTTGGGGCCTCTAAAAAATCGTCTTTTTCCGTCTTTGTCTGCATTAATACGTTTTTAGAGTCAATTACTATAAAAGTAGTGATTTTTGAGCTCCACGGGAGTGGGACAAATGCGACCTTTTTTTTTGCGCACCCGGACATTTGCGCACCTTTTTTTCCGCACCTTGCCCATTAGCGCACCTTTTTTCGCGTTTTAAAAAAGCTCTAAAAAGCTAATATTAACCAATTTCTATTCCAAATGTTGTTTTTCTAGGTAATTTGAGGGTGTCGAATTCAAATTTTGACATAACAGAGCGTGTGGAACCAATTTGAAAGACAAAACGGCTAGATCAAATTACAGAAAATTGTCGATTTTTCTCTTTATATAACTCCGTCCGTTTGTTTCCACAAGCTCTGATATGTCAAAATTTGAATTCGACACCCTCAAATTACCTAGAAACACAACATTTGGAATAGAAATTGGTTAATATTAGCTTTTTAGAGCTTTTTTAAAACGCGAAAAAAGGTGCGCTAATGGGCAAAGTGCGCAAATGTCCGGGTGCGCAAATGTCCGGGTGCGCAAAAAAAGGTCGCATTTGTCCCACTCCCAGCTCCACTATTGCAAATGCGAGCTTATCTTGGCTAACAAAATGGACACATTTTTGACAAGTTTCATATTTTCGAGAGCATTTCATTTTTCCACGTTTAAATTCTTATATGAATCGAATAAAGTTTTAAATTTTTCAGTGGATCTAGTGAAAAAATGTCCATAGATTTTAAATATCTAAACGAAAAAAACTATCAACTCTTTTGGTTTTTAAGAAAATCATCTTTTTGTAGAGCGTAACATTATATATGCCACACCCCTGTAACCTTTAATAGGATTCTTTTTAAATGAAGTTGGGCTTGAACTGTGAAGAACTTGTTTTGTAGAAGCAGTTTTTAGAATTCGCTTAACCGTAAACGTTATTGTATAGCTTTGAAAATCTGTTTTTGTTTCTGTTTCGATTAAGATTCTTAACATTAAGGTATTTTTTTTTTGCTTTTATCTATAACCTTTTCTCATTTCAGGACCGCCGCCGCACTTGGATCTGTTTATGGGGCGGTCATCTTCGTGCAAGGACTCATCACCCACTCGCCGGTAAATTGTTACTTAACCGACTTAATCTTAACTTATCTTTAACCATTATTCTGTATAAAGCTAAAAAGTTCAACAATGCGTGGACGCAACGGCTCTACAAATAGCTGCTTCTACTCTTTCAAACCAGCTTCGTCGTTTCTCTTCACAAGAAATTTTGCAGCGAAAACCTTTCATGTTTGCCTTCATTTATTGGTTTTCTTTGAGCGTTTTATACAAGTTTTATACAAGAACCCGGACGGGTTCATCACGTTCGCGGTTTGGTGATTACACTCGTCTTGTTGAGCTTTTTAGCTTAATTTATATAATCAATATTATACTTCTATATATTCCTTAATTCTTGTATAATATATCTTGTATTCTTGTTTAGACGTACAAGTATGTGGTCAAATACGTGATGATCTATGCCCCGAAATGGATGAGCCCGCGCTTCGACCCGACTACACTCAGGAATCGATTTGAGGTGGGCAAATTTCAATGAAACCATAAAGTTTAAATGCACTTGTTATTATAAAAATATTTTAAACTTGAATTTTAGAGACTGGCGAAGAACAACAAGGCCCGATTGCACAAGGAGTTGATGCAGGAAAAAGAGAAGAAAGAAAAGGAAAAGAAGAAGGAGATTGAGGAGATTATCAGGAAGAATGAGAAGATGAAGAAGAAGGTTAGCTTTAGCAAAATTCACTTAAAAATTTGATCGATGTAACTTTTAAAAGGCAAAGTTGCTAATTTAGCTACCTCTTTGAAACAAAATGAGCCTTAGTTTGTGTTTTTTCTAAAATTTCGTGTTTTAGTTTGGAGAGCTGCCTGCTCAACTCGTCTATCACGTGCCAACGAATGGACCGGACACGGCGATCAGCCCATGGAAATTCCACCCATCGATAAAGCAGTAAATTGATTGAATCAAGAATCTTATTTCTAGAAAAGCTTTGAAATTAGAATTTAAAGAATCTAGAAAAGCTTTGAAACACTTGTTTAATCTTACTTTTAGGTATATTTCGGAGTACAAGAGACGTGTGCTTATCAAGCAGATGTGCTTGGAATATTGGATACAACGCGCGATCTCGCGGCTCTCCAAAAAGCAATCGATGACTGTAAATTTGAATATTTGAATTTAAATTTATTGGGTTAAGGAGAATTATATGGTGTCAAACTTTAAAGATACTTTTTGCAAACATAAAGCTTTCTTTAAATACACGTTTTGTTTTATCAAAAGGGTTCACCATTTCTCTGCAAAATAACTTGTGAGAGATTCCACAACGCTTTTCTTTCGTGGAGCTTATAGACTCCAAAGAAAGCTAGTCAAAATGTCAAAATGGCAGAGTTCAACTCATCGTTTGAACAGTTTCTGCCACATAAACCTTCTTTGGTGTCTACTTAAAAAAGATAGAGCACACTTAATTACATAAGTTGCTAAATTTTCAGGAAACTCCCTCCAATGGTTTTCTCTAGATGACAGTTTATAGATTTTGTGAAAAAAATGGTCTTTTGTTGAGCTGAAGCGCTGTTTGAGTTATCTTTTAAATGTCATTTGGTAGAGAACTAGTTAATCTTTCTACTGATATCAAACGCATATCATTTGACGAAGTTTTAGAAGTTTTAGAAAGTTCTTTGATTTTTAGCGCCATTTCATTCTCCTCAACCCAATAAATATCTAAAAACCTATTGGTCAAAAATAGTTTGAAAGATAGAATTTAATAAGCAATGCGACCAGTTTAGCGAAACAAGACTGAAGCTTTACGGTATCTTTAGTACTACAATCCTACACTTACAGTATTTTCAAGAACTAATTTAACTTGAAAAATAGGATTCTTTTAGAATTTATCACATTTTCTGAAAATAACTAACTAATGAAGGCCTCCAACTTAGGGTAGAATTTCAAAACGAGACCAATTCTATCTTGTTCAGTTTTTCATGGGCTTTCCGAATCCGCTTCTAATTTTTCCTAAATGGCTTGCAAACACAAGGGATTTGACTTTATAGTTTTAGCTATCAATTTGTAAGACTTCCTTGCTTGCCTTAAAAATAGTTCTCTTTGGCCGAGAGTACTCTCCGTTACAACATTTTTTGATCCGAGCTCGATTCTCTCATCGACAACGCTTTTAAACCAATATCTGTTTTTTCAACGGTAAATGTGTTTTTCTTTTAGATGGAATTTTCTATTAAACCATAATCAGGAAAAAAATAGTAATATAAAAGTCAGATTTTTGTATGGAGGGTTTCTGATTGTTGTCATATTCTTTTCCTTCAAAGCATCGACTTTTTTATTAGCAAAATCAGGTTTACATATTCCACCTTAGGTTGGTGACTTTCTCTAATAAGTTTTTACAGCGCCTCGTCAACAACTGCAAGGCGAACAAACTCTTCGAAGGGAAAAGCCAACGGGATCAGACGTGGGCTCTCCTTGCTATCGTGTAAGTTAGCAGGAATTTATCTTAGAATATTTTGATATTGAATTTTGATATGTTAATTTGGTTCCATGCTCGAATAAGCTCATAAACTTTCAGCCAGAAACAGCTGATCGACCTTGACCACTTCGAGATCCCGGACGATTCCATCCCGGACAAGTTATTGTTGGTAAGGATTTTGAAAGAGTAATCAAGTTTTAAAATTAGTTACAGTTTTGAATACAAAAGTTTTAAAATAAGCTAAGCCGAGTTGTAAGAATCTTTCTAGAACTTGTCTTTCTTATTTAATTTGTTTTTAGACGAATGCAACGGCTCATCCAGCGGACCAGTTCGAGTCGATGATTCTCAAGTGGGTTTCAAATTTTACACCAAAACTAACTTGTAATGAGGTTTTAAAACTATTAGCTTTATTAATATTAGCTTACTAGTTTAAATTTAGTGTTTAATTTTCATTTTACTATCATTTTATCATCACTTTAGCATCACCAAATGGATCTCGAGCGACGCATGGAAGAAGGCGAACGCCCGTTACCAGAAATATCATGATGGAGTGGTGAGTTGAAAAGAAAATGAGAATTAATTTTGATAAATTTCAAGCTTACAACTAAATCTTTGCTTTTTAAAATAAAAACATAAGTAAACAAATTTGTTTGAAAATTTCAGGCACCACTGATAGCCGTGATGAAATGGCTTAAATACATCCCACCAAACACGGTAAATCTTGAAAAGTTTTAGCTAAGCAAGTTTATAAGTAAAGTAGATTAGAGAGTATTTATTTTTTCTTGAGCCTATGCTTTCTAAAAAATACTCATTTTAAAAGCTATCGTCCTTAAAAAGTTAGCTTTTATTCAATCAGCCTTTCATTTTTTGTATCATTGACTAAGTGACCAAATTTAAGCTGATTGAATAAAAGCTGGAAGTTTGATTACACTAGTTTTCTAAAATAGATTTAATTTTAATATTTTTTTTTATTTTAGCCGGATCACGCTAGTCACATATCGGTGGAGAAAGACGCCTCTGGGGAGAGAGGATGGAGACAATTCGAGAGACCACCGGAGATCGTCTTGGAGTCACAGGTGAAATTTACAAGTCTAGTTTTATGTAAAAGAATATAAACCTGCAACAATTCATTATTTCCATAATATATTTTCAATTTCAGCTTCCTGAGCAATTCGAGTTCCTGGAAGAGGAGCTGGTGATGAGGAACGAGCGCTATGATAAAGTGAGTAACTCAGAAACTTAAGAAAAAGCAATATTTGGCAGAATAGAATCTAAATCAAGCTTTTAAGTGCTTTAGGTAAGTACGTTAAGCGTTTAACTAACAACTTATAGGTATTAGAAACATAGATTGGAACTAGAGATATTGGAAAGATCAGTTTTTGACTTATTGAAACTGTCAATTAGAATCAGAACACTGACTATCTAGCTTTATTTGGAGAACTTCAAAGACATTTAACTTATCGGTTAAATACTTTTTATTTTGAAATATTGTAATAAGAAAATAGACGGATTCCACATATTTTAAACCATTACCACATTCAGATCTACACCGATGATCCGATGTTCGCCCAATGGATCGGCACACCGTATGAAGAGGCTGCACGAGAGATTATGGTAAGTTAAAAATTGGAGAATAAAGTAAAGTGGTTAAGTTTAATTTCCCTAATTGAACAAAACCATCTTTTGGTTGGGGTGGGGCAAAGGCGGCTTGAAAAATCTCATCTTTTTTCACTTTGGCGGAGGGAAACTCTTTGAGGATCAAGATGGTCATTTCAGAGAGAATCCACGGACACCAACTTTGATACGAATAGTACAAGCGAATCGGGGAATACTTTTGATCTCTTTCAAAGCAAAATGATAGCTGAAGTGTTAAAGTTAAACACAGTTTGTTAGAAATTTGTTAATATGGTGACTGACTTTAGTGAAGTGTTAAAAGCTATCCTGCCAATGTTGCAAGATTGAAACTAAAACACCTTTGCCTTGCTATAATCGATGATTAAAATTCAGCTCCTAATTTTAAACCTTGATCAATCAATAGACCAACTTTAACTTCAAACTGCAGTTTTTCTTTTTTATCTTCTAAAACAAATTGCGACTACTTTAGAGTTTGCTCAAAAAAGATCTTACAACGAATTTTCTCTCATTAGTTTTAGTTCCAGGTCTGTCTTTGAACCACTTTACAATCAAGAGCTAAAATGGCTTAATGGAATCTGCTTTAATTGTAATGAAGTAAAGTAAGAAATGTCAAAGAAAGATTTTAGGAGAGGGGGATTGAACCCTCGACCTTTTTTGCTTTCCGGGCAAATGCTATAACCATTGAGCTATCCGGTATCCCGTTGCCAGAGAAGAAAGAGGAAATACAAGGGGGAAGAGAAAAGAAAACTACAGTCTTTTTTAGATTTTATCTTTTAAGCAACTCAGAGCCCGTTTTCAGAAGCCCGTCGAGGCGTTCATCTTGGATGAACAAGGGCAACCCGGGATGACCATCAACCCGCGAGAAAAGCCCATTGAGAACTGGTTCCTCAACGACGCGAGGCCAGGGTGAGTGAAATTGCAAATGATTGCGTAAACTTGTTAAAATTGTTCTAAGATCTTAATATCATTTTTTAAAACTTTAATTTGCGATATGAATCTCATAGTCAGCGATCATTGCTTTCATCAAGAGGTGGTTTTCGAAGCCAAGCTGAAAGCTCCAGTAATTTCATTTTTTTTGATTCCATTTTACAGTCAAATAGCGAAACTTCAATTTCTGCAGAACTTCTAAATTAGTTTTATCCATTAAAATCCAACTTTTAGATTTATTGGCCCTCGAGAGCGATCCCCAGTTGAGCTCGGGCCGCTCACCGACCACATCCGGGCAACGTGCTACTTCCAGACGTGCCTCGACGCCGGCTGGAGACCGATCGCGGTAAGAAAATACGTAAAATTAAGTTTTGTTTACTTGTAAATCTCCAGAGTGTGTAGATTGCTAAATCTAGTGAAAGTAACTAGCAATTTCAAGTCTTGAGAAATCTTGAGAAACAGATAGTTAGTGCAAAGCCATTGAACGAATTTTTGATGTACTTTGGTCAACTGTTTCCTTTTAAAAAGATATTAAAGTTCATAAACGTTTTATATTTCTAATTTTAGAGAACCCATCTCAACCAGAGGGAACGCTTATTGATGGGACCTCATCCATTAGACGGATATGTCCTTGGCAACCGCGTGGACGCCTTCGAGGACGATCCAATTGAAGTGAACTAATTTTAATAAACACCAAATAAGTTTAATAGATAGAATAAAAGCTTTATTTGGTAGTCGTAAAGTTAAAACTTAACTTAGAGCTCAGTTTTTAATCTTGAACTGAAAATTGGACTGAACTTTTGAAACTAAATCTTGTCCTAGATTCTAGAGTTTAAAAAAACTAGCTCTCTAGTTTGAAAGCTAGTTTGAATAACAATGAAACAACAATAAAAAAACTAATTTTGTTGCAAAATTTCAATATTAGATTATTAGAAAATTAGAAAATTAGCAAAAACTAAAGTTTACAGCAATTTTGAGTTACCTTATCTTCAAAATTTCAGCTTCAATCGGGCAATCCGTACAATGGACCGTATTGAATGGAAAAGAAAAAGGAAAAATGATTCTTTTGAATGTGAATGTGATTTAAGTTGTTTTGCTTGTTTTTTTGTGAAAAATATGATTTTTGGGAACTTTTGGGATGTGATTTTAGGTTTAGCCGGGTTTAGTTGGCTTTGTGATATTGTCAACAAAAAAAAACGATAACAAGTTTTCCAAAGGATGTGATTTTAGGTCTAGCTGGGTTTAGTTGGCTTTGTGATAATGTCAACAAAAAAAAAACGATAACAAGTTTTCCAAAGCTTTTTCAAAAAAACACAATAGAATATCAGCAATTTGCAAAATAAATTACAAAACAAATTTTGCAAACTAATAGTTTACAAAAATTCTTTTGATCGAAACAAATTTTATGAGTTGGATCTGAGCCTTAGCATTGCGATACTTCACACAAAGGTTTACTAGGGAAAGGCACCAGGTCAAGGTGTACTGTACTGTACTTTTTCTTGTGACTAGAGTAACAGCTGTGATCACTTCTTACCTTATTTTGGTAGATAACCTGTTTTTTTTCAGACCCACAAACTCAAGTAACTACAATTCTCTTAAAGTTAGATTAGGCTCATTATCTTGAAACTGATTGATAGCATTTATAAATCACAGCTGACTAGAGTAACGGCTGTGATCATCTCTTACCTTATTTTGGTAGATAACCAGTCACAGCTGATCCGAGATTAGGCTCACCCTACCTTGCACTTTGTGCCCACAAAAGAAACGCAACCTTTTTGGTTTATTAAACTTCTTGTATAAGTTACAGTAAAGTCTTAATAGGGAAAGGCACCAAGTTTACAAAACTTCTTTTGATCGAAACATTTTATGAATTGGATCTGAGACTTAGCATTGCAATACTAGGGAAAGGTACCAGGTCAAGGTGGGCTTTTAATACGAGAGCCATGGGGCTTTATAGCATCGGCTATGCTGACTCTGAATATGCTTTTACTTGTCCAAAGGAACTTTGTAAAGCAAGATATTTGGCATCAAAGTTTAGACCGATTTAAACAAGTTTTACTGAATGAGGATTGGATAAAGATCGGCTTTGGAGTTGAAATTTATGAGATTGGGATTTCATACGGATTTCCGATTTTGTTTTGATAATGTTTGATAGCCCAAATCTAGTTAAAAACCTAAGCTAAGTCTTTTTCTTCCTCTTCCAATTTGTGCAGTGCATGAGAGGGTACCGATGAGGCAATGATTATTTAGATATTTATTCCGAATATAGCACAATCACTAATCTAGCGAGAAAATACAATAAATAGAATCAATCGTTGGTTCAGTGTTTCAAAGCCAAAGGAGAAAGAATACAAAGTGGGCTCCGCCTCTTTTTATCACAAATACGAGGTTTAGAGGAAGGACAAGAGAATCGGAGATACCGTATTTTCCTTAATAGTAGTGCGCACTAATATTTTTTCAACCCCCTCCAGCCTGCACTGCTATTACAGACTGCATTACTATTATAGACTGCATTACTATTACAGACTGCACTACTTTCAATCACAGAATCAAGATTGTCGATTGACGGTTTTCTTCCATGCGGCTCATAGCGATTGCTTGGCCGTTGAGATCACACCCTCTTCATAAGCGTCGAAGTTGAAGTTTTCGATTTCACTGGGGAGACCAATCTTTGAGTTTGGCATCAAGAAATCAAGTGGACGCAGCACGCGATCTTCTTTCAAAGCCAAAGAAAAGCAATACAAAGTGAGCTCCGTCCCCTTTTATCACACAAACGCTCTTTAGAGGAAGGACAAGAGAATCAGAGATATTCAAAATCAAAGCATCAAATAAGATTTCACAGAAAAGAGCTACTTTTCTGCACACAATTGTTCAAGGGAATGGTGGCTTATGTAAGTTTGATCAATTTGTTCAATATATTCATCTGAATGACCGCATTTATTATATTTAGGACTTTGCTGGTGAACCATGTGGCTGATCCAGCAAAATATAATTGCAAATTTGAAACAAAAAACAAAATCCTTAATCAAATAAACTTTAAAAATCAAAAATTAAAAAAACTGCAAGAATTTATGGAAAACCCTAATACTTTTACATTTCAATCTTTATCAAGTTCCAATGTAAAGATCCTATAATTTTTGTCCGGCAAAGTTTGTTAAGAAAATTTGTATCAAGTTTGTTTTCTTTGAGTGATACTACTTTAGTTTTATCAAAAAATAATAACTTAACTTTGGATTTTTGCTTAATTTCAAAAATGGTCATTTATCCTCTAAAAACTCTTGGTTCTATCATTTTGTTGGGTACTGTATATAGAAAAATACTCGTTAAAGGATTTACAAAGTGACTGACAGAGAATAGTGGTTAAGAATTGAAAATGAAATTGTCATTCAAATTTTCTAGATGATCTGTGTCGAGAAAGTGATAATTGGTTAGCCGGATTTGACTCTCAGTTTCCACGATTTATTTGTAAACGGAAACCATGACTTTTTCAGCTCTAGAAGCTGAATGAACTGTAATTTTACCTTCGTAAAGTGTTCTGTTTCTTAGAGTGTTCTGTTTCTTTTCAAGATTAGTTTATTTGACCCGAAAACACAAAAACAATGCTAGCACCAGTATCAAAAGAATGTCAAATTTCGAACTCAAATTGTTTCCATTTCTTTGCCCTCTTCTACCATTAAAAGTGGGATTTTCTCGGATTCTGGATGAAATTTATGACAAATCATCCAATTGATTGACGCCAATAGAATACAAGCAATCACGATGAAGAGTAATGAGTAGAAGATTTCTAAAATAAATACTGGAATTTGATCTATTCATAGTTGAGTCTATTGTCTTTTTAGTGATTTTAAAATAGAATTACGCATAGGGAAATCTGAGGATAAGTTTTTCTGTCCAGTTACAGCATGCAAAGTAAACTTTGAGCTCAAAAAAATTGGCTTGGTTCGTTATTTTCCCGGATGCTGGAGTGAAATTAAAAAATTAGCAACAACTTCTGCTGGATTAAGGATTTCAAAGGGTTTTAAATAGATCTTTATAACTTTTATATAGTTATAACTTATAACTTTTCTATTTTTAGAACTTTTATTGGCTTTAATTACCGTATTTTCTCTAATAGTAGTGCACCTTGAGCGTCGCCTAAATTGCTCGAAATCTCGAGAACCGCTTATCAGAACCTATCGATGTGGGGTCGGAAAATGTAGCTGGCGATGAGATCTAGTGGGGGATTTGAGTGTTGAGCTTCTGCAAAAGCTTGGAAACTGTAAAATAGTCACCAACTCGGCTCACCGGGGTGCACTACTGTTAGAGAAAATACGGTATTATTTGCCTTATTACTGGCTTGGCTTGGATAAAGTTCCTGCTAGAACCTGGCTCGCAGGTCTGATTGAAATACCTTTGGCTAGATACCGTATTTTCTCTAATATTAGTGCAGCCTTGCCTAAATTGCTCGAAATCTCGAGAACCGGTTGTCAGAACCTATCGATGTGGGGCCGGAAAATGTAGCTGACGATGAGATCTAGTGGGGGATTAGAGTGTTGAGCTTCTGTGAAAACTTTGAAAGCCGTAAAATAGTCACCAACTCGGCTCTGGGGTGCACTACTATTAGAGAAAATACAGTAATCATACTCACCAACGCTTAAAAGCACCATTGATCCACTTGAAGAAAACCTGAGAATTTGAGAATACAAAGACAAATAGTCAATTGAAATTGAAACTTCAAAGAAACAAAGAAACAATGACGAGATTTTGTTTTAAAAATGCTAACAGCGGCAAAACTTGGAAAATTTATTAGTGCTGTTTAGTGATTTCTTCATGTCGACAAAAAGATAAGCTCTTCTTTTTTCTCTCATTGTTTTCGATCGATTCACTTCCAATCATGTGCCACGAGAAATAAGAAAAACAAAAAGTTTAGAGTCAGATTTTAAAATAATGCAAATGATAGTTTAATTCATTCATTTATTATGTCCAGAGCTTGAGATTTCAGCTTTTTTGATGACTTTAGCTATTTTGTGACTAAAACTTTAAAAATTCCTCAAAAGAATTTAAAAATTCCTTTTTTACAGCTTTGGAACATCTTTGAATTGGAACACTTTTACTTCAAAACTTCGGCTAGATATCAAAAACAAAGACGATGCCAATGGGAACTTTGAGATAGTACGCCGCTTTGAGTCAATCACAAATGTGACAACCGTCAAACCGGAACACCTGGACAAATTAAAGGAAAATTCAAGACATTTAGAAATGAGACTATCACTTGCTTAATTTCCCATTTTTTAAAAAAATTCTCATACATTTCTCTTTTTATTTTAACCTTTAACAAAATATTCAATTGTTTTTAATAAAAATAAAAAAAAATAATAAAAAATTCTTCAAAAATTGCCCCCAGGCAGGATCGAACTACCGACCTTTGGTTTACAAGACCAACGCTCTACCACTGAGCTATAGGGGCTTTTGAATGGCCGTGAGAAATTTCCCTTTTGAACATTTGAACAGCTTATTCTTCTCTTTTGATGTTTTGATGAATAAATAAATATTCATTATCCATTTCTTTTCTTTAGATTCATTGCCCGTTTAGCTCAGTGGCAAAGCGTCTGTCTCGTAAGCGATGGGTAAACAGAAGGGCATCAGTTCAATCTCGATAGTGGGCAATTCAAGACTTTTTTTTGGAATTTGAGGAAAATTGTGTAATAAGAATTATATAAATCTCATCGTCATTGGCTCTGTGGCATAGCGTTGGTTTAGCAGACAGAAGGTCACTTTCGATTTCGATTTCGCTTTCGGTTCGATTCCAGCATGAGACATTGAGGCTTCTCCATGAGGCTTTTTTCCGTGATCTTCCCATCCAATAAATAGGCATCATTGACAGTTAATGAGTCTCAATGATTTGTAAGGGGAAATCAAGGGACACACCGCTCAATGCACTCATCCAGGTGTGTTCGCGGGGGATTAGCATGGATGGATTGGAGAAAGACCAATTCTGGACTCGATTTCTCTTCTTTTCACCATTGATGTTATCTCATTCACAAATTGCACACAT